TCGCTATCGTATGAACCTTGGATAAGCAAAAAAAAATTTTTTTTGATGGCGGCTGGTTTAAAAAAAAATTTTTCATGTTTTTTTTAACAATTCCGAATTTTTTAAAAATACTAAATGAAAAGTTATAGTTTTGGTTTACTCTTTCAAATTTGAAGTAAATCGTTCATTAGAACTCGAGATATCCTTACCGCCAGCTCGAAAAAGTAGTTTCCGAGAAAAACGCGTTCAAAGTTTTGAGACTCGGTCGGACCCGAACCGAGACCACGTCACTAAAGCGGCTATAACTCAGGAAATAATAGTAATTTTGAAAAATCCTTTTAATGACATATTTTTGAATAACTAAACTTTGAAAATATGAAAAAAAAAATTTTTCGATTTTTCAAAATTCTACAGTAGAATACCCCCTTAAGAGTGATTTCTTACAAATCGTTTATGAAACAAGTATCGATTATAATTTCAGTTAGCAACATGGACATCCCCATCCATTGAAGACATCTCAAGAAAATATTACAAAAAACCCATCCGTCGATCGTATACCCATCTAGCCATGTGTCTATTATATTTATTGTGCGGAGAGCGCTTCTGAGCTCTCGGATCGGTCCGACGCGGCGTCTCCTGATTTGGGTTACACAGTTGTTAGATTGAAATATCGCACTAGGAGTTCCTTTTCGGGCGACATGCCCGGAATACAGATATCCGTTCTGGAAGTACGTGGCCGTTTTGTGTGTAATATAGATCCCTCACTGCGACACGCCAGAGGCGGTTCAACAATGCCATCACAAACAATCCACAGCGACGGCAATCACCGACTTACGAAACTCTCGACGGTGGTGACGGTGTATAATAATATTTCACGTTTGCGCTAACATAATGACGTTTCGGCAGAATCAACGAGGGTTATGAATAATATTGTTTTTGTGCAGAAAGAGAGGGATGGTGCAAATAATATTTCTAAAACCGCGGAAACGCAGTAGGTGATAAATTACTGACTTTGCGGTATATTGGAATGAAGAAATTCAATGCCACCATAGGCTAAGACTTTTTATTGTCCTTGACAACATTCACCGCCAATCTCAATCTAATTTAGTTATTATGCTTTCAACAATTTTTTTTTTATTTTAGTTGCACAAATATATCACCTTGCTACATTAGTACATTTTTAGTACTATTTTTCTCCAAGACATTCTTCGATCGATGCAATTCTAACTCTCAATGCATGCCACTTACCAAACTTCATATTTAGAATAAAACAAGCAACCAAAACTATTACATGTTTTATAAACTGTATTGAGCACTTCTTATTACTTACAAGGAAACCCTCAAGTTTATTCTTCTGGGATTTTAATGAAACCTCGCATGGTGATAGAGTTGATGGTCAAACCGAACCCCACAAAATATTCTAGGCCTATGAGAAGTGGTTCAATTATAAAAATTAAAGTTGCGAAAAATACCCTATATCTGCATACTGTTGTAATAGCGACATTATTAGTAGACAATCTATTGATATGATTTTATTTTTAATACTTAAACGCTATTAGAAGACAACCCCTCGAATGCCATTCAAATTGGGATTCTGCAGCAATGCCCCGGAGGACTAGTTTCTGTTGGAAGCATTTTGATATCTGTATTTTCAAGTAAAAACTGACCTTACTACTGCTTGACATCAAGCTCCTAACTACTAATGCAACGGGGAGCCAATCTTCACATGTATGCCAATTATGCCAATATGCCAATTATTTATTACCGATTCTGTCGCATAACAGAAACATGTTATGGAAAGGCCATGTTACGCTCCAACTTTTATACATTATGCTACAGAATCATACTGAATACTGTCAAAATGTCATGTATTTGCTGTGCATTCAGGCAGTTTTTTACACATAAAGTGTAACGTCACTCGTATGTTATGAACATGAGTCAGAAAGATCCTGTTATCTAACATCGTTTTTTTGATATTTATGCAATTTCTAGGTTAGGTTTTCTATCTGACAACCTGAGAAATGCGCCTGACTGCACAGCAACCACATGGCTTTTTCAATATTTAGCACGGAAAATTGTTCATAATATAGCCTTGCCATAACATTGGCCTGTTATGCGGCAGAATCGGTTCATAAATAATGGTTAACAAGTTTTTTGGTATTTTAGTACTAATTGACACTAAAGTTTAATTTTTTCTTGCCATTAATATACATATTCAGCAAGTTTTCCACTAATAGAGATATTTTTTGATCTTGATGAAAGTATTAGATTCAACATTGATGATCTTTTTAAATTAGTTACTTTGTCTTGAAAATTGTCGTTGTCTCTTGTATTTAACACTAAAATGAATTTTTTTTTCTTCCTCTTAATATATTGAGAATTTCTCACACTGATCGAGATATTTTATCTCATTATCAACATTGGTGATTTTACTGTTTTTTTACCTTTTTGATGTTTTTAGCCATAATAGTTCTTTGATTTGTCAAATGTTGGCTTAAAACTTACAAATCGAGGTCAAAGGCTTAACAGGACATTTAAAAAAAAATGTATTTACCATTTCACCAACATTCATCTTTCAATCTGGAATGGATACACGTGTATGTAATATGGATGTGTGGTTACATATGTGTAACACGTTTTCGAGAAACCAATCGATTTGGATGTTATTCGATTTGTATCGACACTGTAAGGAAGTTAATGGTTTTGGGAAAACTCCATTCATTGGTGAATTTTAGATGCTAAAAATAACGCATTATTAAACCCAATTCGCGTAAAATAATTATGCTAAACTTAGTATAGTATACTACTCAAAGTGGACAGATAAGGTAACAAATGAAGAACTGCTGAGAAGAGTTGGCGAAGAAAGAAATACTGAGCAAGATCCTGAAAAGGAAACTGGATCGGATCAATTCTGCAAAAAAGTGCCTTCTACCTTTCTATGATGTCGAAGGTACAATTGGACGAAAGGGATTGGGAAGAAGAAGAATGCATATGAGTGATGACTTACGCGAGAAGAGAAAATACGGGGAACTGAAAGCCGAAGCACAGGACCAGGAAGCATGGAAGCAGAAGTTTGGAAAGGCAAATGCATAAAAGTGAATAATAGTAATAAAATCACAATGGGAATAATACACAGGGGAGGAGAAGGGAATTATTGATTTGTGATTCTCTCACACCTTGGACCTGCCTTCGGGCATAGTATAAGAATAGAAAATACGGAAAACTAAAAGACGAAGCACAGGACCAGGAAGCATAGAAGCAGAAGTTTGAAAAAGAAAATGCATAAATGTGTATATTAGTAATAAACTGACAATGGGATTAATAGTCTAGAGGAGGGTAAAGGAATCAATGATTTGTGATTCTCTCACACCATGGACCTGTCTTCGGGCATAGCTTAAAGTGCACCAGTACTTAAAGTACACCATAAATGTGCCATATACTCCAATTTCACTACATACTATTCAAACATTTATTGCAATAATTTAATGTTGATATTTATTATATTCTTTATAAAATAATCAAACTATCGCCACAATTTTAAAAGTTCTTTTACATCATACGATGAATAAATATTTAAAGTGATAATATACGTTATCGCTTCAAAGTCAGATTTATAAACGAACTATCGGTAAACATTGTCTTGTCGTATAGCAAAGTTATCATCAAATATTATTATAACAACGCTGGAATGGAAAATGTTTTTATATTAAATTGTCCTGTGTCTCGTGTCTCGTTCTGTGACTTGGGGGCATATGAGTTCGAACGCTGGCGAAAATCATCTC